TGTGGAGCTTCGAAAGTGATCAGGAAGCTTCACCCTGCATTCGAATGACTTTTTCTTTCACTTCCAGTACTGCGGGAAAGCCACAACTAGTCAACTATCCTACCCAGGGATTTAGTCAGTGATTGGGGAACTGCTGACCAGCTCTACTGCAGCAACCGTACTTTCAAGACAATGGGTTTCTTCCACCATGATCTGGTCATGACGGATTCGTTGTTTACTTCGAGCCATGACCTTCAGAATAATGCCGAGAAACCTTGCCCAGCATTCGAGGACTGCTGCGATACACATGAACTAGTGAAGATTCCCATCATACCTGATTAGTTTGAGAGAAACCCCGAGGGAAAATCCAGAAGGGTCATGCACATCTATAAAATACAGGAAAACGTCTGAGGTCATACTTACAGCAGGGGCTAGCGAAAACAAATAGAGTTGCCGAAGTTTAGAGTTCGGCAAACAAGCATTTTTGTTGGGGAAAGAGGGAATAATTAGAAGGAATTGCAATTGGTGATTTTCTGGGCTTCAAATTTCTGCTGAAATGAGTTGACAGGAACCTGAACGTCGATTGAGAAGGTTCATGGCAAACAAGCATTTTTGTTGGGGAAAGAGGGAATAATTAGAAGGAATTGCAATTGGTGATTTTCTGGGCTTCAAATTTCTGCTGAAATGAGTTGACAGGAACCTGAACGTCGATTGAGAAGGTTCATTTGCCCAACTAGTCTTTCACTTACTTTCAACGTGCATCAATTTACATTTTATTGCTGTGTCATTAAAATAAAAACAGAAAGGCCACAAAAAAAATCAGAGTTATGGAGGTTAGTTCCCATTCGGGAGCTCAATACTTCCAAAATTTATTTAACAGAAGTATTCCCTGAGTCCGTCTGAAAATTTTTCAGGAGGTACAACTTCAACTTCAATAGCTCTAAGTCGAAGTAAAAATCGGTAATCAAATCAGTTCAAAACGGCATTTTAACTTCCCAACTACGAGTGTTGAGAGACTTCAAATTATCGTTTTTTGAAAAGCCCTGATGATCATACCCTGCCATCCAGAGCAGTGAAATAAGTTATACATCGCCGGAAGAAATAAAACGAAATTTAGTTGCAAAATTTTTCAGGATGAAAACACAAAAATGAGGCGCCCGAGTTCAGAAATTGTTTACTTCAAACGGTTTATGAAAAGCGGGTAGAAATATCGAGAAGCTCCTCCAGATACCGAAATTTCGAAAAAAAAAGGTCTCCGGGAACTTGTTCAAGTATTCAAGTCGGGTGTGGAAATGAAAGAAATAATTTTTTAAAATTAAAATTCCACATCATACGACACGCAACTTGCAGAACTCGTTGCGAAAATTGCTTGTGCACCCGCGTGTTAGAGGAAAGTTTAATACGCAATAACTTGCGAACGTCTTCGATGCCATCTCGAGCGATTCCTGGTCTCACGCTATCTCCTATTCTTGCTGATTGTTGCAGCTTAATTTCATTCTGCAGAGACTGCATTCAGGTACGAGATAAATTCCGCAGACACACGCGAAAGGCCGAAGACCCTTGCTAAGACCCTGAGCTCGGAGGTACCCTAACAACTCACGTGGTGAAAACTGGACGACAGCAACAGCAGAGAAAATAACATCTGAGAGGGGAACGAAAACCCGCAAAATAATTGCGGTTAAAATTTTAATTTAGGCAAAACGTCACGTGCTATCAAAATTTGCATAATAATGTGCCCGCGAATTCCTTTTAAACATTTCAGCAAGCAGCACAAGTCAGCTATTCTCCTCTATATATTTTGTTCATATAGGGATCCTCGGATACATTTTTTCATCACATGATTCTCCTCCTCAATTTTTCCAATAATTTCAGCACGCAACTCAACATTATTCGGATAACCTGCCGATCTTGAACATTTGAGAGAGAAATGGGTTAATTTTTTAGAGGATCCCAGTGGGATCCCTTGGTTATCCTAACAGGTAATGCTAAAGAAAACAAATGTTTTATGAGAAATCTAACTCTGGTTTTGACAGAAAAAATCTTTTTCTTGAGTATGGCATTCTATTTTAAATCAAGTGCCACCAAGAAGTCATGGTCGCGAGATATTTTTCTTTCTCTGGCACCAACAATTAAGCTGTTCGTCGGAATTCCTCTTCAATCCCTGAATAATTTTCTTTTTGGGGCAGAGACTCGAACATTCCCGAGATTTTATTTTTTCTTGCCGTCAGATGTGTCGCTCTATATGTGCGCCTCCACTACGCAAATTGTCGGGTTATTGCACTCCCCAGTTTACCCGACGTTCACCCCACTCCACCATGCAGGCAGCGTTTTGTCAAGTGTCTAGTTTTCCAGTGCGATAATCAGAGTCACGTGGACACAAAAACGACGGAAAACAAAACACACGGAAGTAAAAAAAAAAAAAAAGAAGGCGCAACCCCGCAGAAATAATCCTGGGTCACCGGAAAGCTCCCGACAAGGTTCTCGTGAATAATTGAGGCCTAACTTTGTTTGCTCCACAGGTGCTTCTGCACGGGGTTCCAGTGCGTGGAAACCAAATATTCATCAGTGGACTGGACGCGGACGCTCCACAATTTCCGCGACGAAGGCGTTTTGTCGGTGACCCCTGCGGGTTGCGCACTATCCACTTCCGCTAGGTGTTTTTTTTCCCCGGTCTCCTGACCACGTACGTGGAACAGCAACAAAAAAAAAGTTTCGCAATTGACCCAACATGACTCAGTCGTGACAAGTGATCCCGCGACCAAAAAGCCGATTTCCGGAGATCAAGCTTTCGTGACGGGTTGCATTGACGAAGTTACTCACACGCTGGAAACAATTTCATTCCTCCTATACATACGTGACAGAGCTTCATCAAGAGTCTGGGTTCCGATTACTTCATGTTCACATGCAAAATTCCCAGTTAGGGATGCGAAAACAACGTTTTATCGCAAAAAAAATTGACAAGCAGTGTTGAGTGATTTTATGGACCATCGGGGGAAAACAAATTTCCAGGCAACATTTTTCAAGCTTATCAGCACCCACCATTTGGAGAAACTCATTTCCAGTTGAAAATCAAGTGATAGTGCAGAAGATCTAAACTCAAAATTATTGTGAATATCAAATTTTAGTGGCCGTGAGTATTTGTGTTCATCAAAATTTCACCGATGGTACCTGTATCACTACCCTTTGGAAAAAGATTCTATGTTTCCAAAGAAATTTCAGCGAACACCAAATGGCTCCTGTAAAGCCTTGTTGCATGAAAACGCTCATGAAAGTTAATTCAAGATAACTTCCATTTTATTTGCAACACTAAACCATGACCAACTTCGTGAAACTTCAAAATTTATGCATAATGTATTCATAATGTTGTGTGGCGAAAATCAGCTCTTGATTGACGATCCTCGCATTTCATCAATGCATGATGGTAAATTTCAAAATGACATCAAAACGATTCTCTTCGTTATACAGACGTAGAAAAATACTGAAGAGAAGTTTTTTCCTCGATCTTAGATATGAATACCAGTAAAGACCAATCATATGCTTCGTATTAAGCTCATAACTCGGAATCAATTTCAAATTTGAATGTATGTATCCCTATTCAAAATTTGGCTCGCTGAAAAAAGATAAGTTCAACTCAACATGTGGTCAAGTACTGTAGTACGAAAGAGCAAAAGAACTATGCCAATTCAGAAAAAACTGTTCTTGAATTGCAAATTTGTTTTAAAAATTTCTTGGATTAGATCAAAGTAGATAGATGAAAGGGATATAATTTCGCTGAAATTTGACGTGTCCCCCGTCATGTTCAGTTTCATTAAGCCACCACACGTGGATCATTATCTTGCATCTCCTGCGTCAGCTAAAAACTTGAAACGATGGTTGCTCGTAATCAAATGTAATATCACTGAGCCGGTAAATGTAGCTTTACTTCGTGGAGTTGCTTTATTCGCATTCAAATCATTAGCGCTTAACCAATTTTGTGACCCTCCATGTGTGACCCTCCTCTTAACCCTCCATGAACACCATTCGGGTTTATGGGGTTCATGCTGACCTGAAAGGGCATTCAACTAAGCGGGCACAAAACTAATGGAAGCCCTTTGTTCTTATTTAAAAAAAAACGTAACTGAGAATCGTCCGAAGACAATAAATGAAGAGGCACAGTGAAAATCAATCGTCACTGTCGCTAAGTGCTGGGATCAAATTTCGCCCGAACAGCAAAGTTATGCTTTTCAACTCCTACAACACGTTCTGGCAAATGGAACGGAGATAATCATCATAGATAACTCGGAAATCTTGACGGTTCACTCATTAATTGAAATCGAGATGTTCTCGCCTTCCTGCATGGCAGGACTAATTCGCACTCAAGAAGGGAATCGATAAAACGAAGCATTCGATAAAATTCCAAAGGTAAATAAAAGGCGGTAGGTTCATTTGAATTCGCAAAAGGTTCCCTCTATTCGATCCATTCCTTTCGTCAGAGCTACCATTGGAAACTTATGAGATTTTGATGAAGGAGAAAAAAACCAGATAATGGTTTTTTTTTTACATTTGACGGCGAATGAATAAATGATGAGAATCACCATATGCTGGCCGACAACGTATGCTGGATACCACAATTTCACGCCGTGTTAAATTTCACTTACGGGGAAATTTCTGCAAAAAGTTACCAGCAAAGCTTCCAAAAGTTTTGAATCTACATCAAGTTACGTCAGCTACCGACAAATATGGCTCCTGTTTTCAACTGTGAAGTGCCCTTCCGCCTTCCGAAATTCCTTGAAAAACTGAACGTGTTCTGCACTCCGAGTACCGCAAGTCATTAATGGAATAAATGTTGCACTTAAAAAGGAATAAATACTTGAAAAATAAACTCTGGAAGGCAGTTCATTGTAAAGCACCAAGGTCCCCAAATCTTTGAATTCTTAAATTGCAAGAGCAATATATACAGGTGAGGAAAAGGTAAAACACAATTGAACAAGATAAATATTGCAATTGAAAATTACAACACATTATTCTGGTTACCCTTAATATTGATTTTTTTTTAAATATTTCTATAAGTAATTAGAATCAAAATGAGAACAATATTGCAATTTTGAGCTTCCATGAACGGCGCTTTTCTAAGAAGTGAAACCGGATGGAATGTAAATTTGGCGCACAAAAAGTATTCGCTCATGTCTAGTCCGTCACAAAGGATTTCAACACTTTTCAAGATTTAAATACCCAATTTAGTATGAAGATTTGGCGCGTTGAAATATTAGTGATTCATTCGGCTTGTTTTAATTCAAGGGAAAGAGGCACAAAGGAATCGTGAATTTTAATAGGATTGCCATTTTTCTGACTGCAAAAATTTCAGGCTGGTCAAAACTTGACAATTCTACTGCTGGTGAGACAAAATCACTCGACAGTTGGCAGTCTCTGCTCTTTCTTGCAAACGTTTACTCATACAGAAGCGGTTTAATTATGGTAGAATAAATACGTTAGTTACTGCATTACTAGAACACCTTCTTTTCTCACGTCCAGCATTCCACAACATAAGAATTGAACTTTCCAATGTCTCAAAATTCCCACAAATTAATCAAGAAAGCTTTCTCCCAAAATATAGAAGACCAGGAAAAGTTCAGCTTTATATGTTTGATCCACGAAGATTCTTTCAAAATTGTTCGATCATTTAAGAAAAAAAACATCCAAGAACACGCTGAGCACCGTTTGCTCAGTAAATTTCGTGTGGTGTGATGTTTGATATTCTTTTGCAAAGTGATGGCGATTTGCATGCACTTTTAGGCATTGAGATTGATTTCCTGCAAATAACTATGCAGCGCATTCAATGGGTTAGAATGTGTATAATTCATATGTGCATGGGGGATGTGGGAAAATGTTGCAAACCTTGTGAATGTGGCTAACAGGCAGTAAGTAAGGCTTGCACATTAATCAACACACAATGCACAGCCTCACAAATTTGCGCCCCCACACCTCGCTGATAATTGCAGCGCAATAATTAGCAAACAGCAAACCCCAGCTGAGTGCTGGAAGCAATTCCAGGGTGCAGAAAAAACTTGGGTGCTGGGCAACCCTTCTTCACTCGGGGGGTAATTACTGGCTCTCGGGGGGATAGAAGCAAGACGCTGATTGCGATCGCAAAGGGATCTGGGACTCACCGGATTCACCCTGAAACGCAGCAGCCGGAAGCAACAGCAGGCAGGCCAAGAATGCGGACGATGTTGGCCAAAAGACCCGGCGTTTCTCCGGATGGCGGAAAGCGTCGATGTGCAGGAACTTCATTCCTGCGGTTGCAATAGTTTCTCTTCCTTTTTAAACTTTTCTCAGCGATTTATTTTTTTTCTCGTTGCGTTTCTTTGCAAGTCACCGCACGAGTTTTCACTGCGTTCTAAGTAGTCACTCTCAGCAGAAAGGAACTGTATTGTCGTCAGTCTCTCTCTATATAGCTCTCTAGCTGGAAATTTCACATTGCAGCCCACGCAGTTGCATCCAAGCGATTGCATTCATGGGGTATCGAACCAGTTTGCACACTCGACTGCAATTTTGCACGCAACGGAGATGCTTTCAGAGGATATACCCTGCAGACGAAAAACGTTACGGAATTTCCATCAGACCATTTGACACGCTTTTTTAAAATCCGGATTTCAGAACTGATCTCTAAGCCAGCTGCAAAAATTCTTGAATAATTGAATGGGTATCTTCAAGCACTATGCAATTTCTATAGGGTCTCCAAGAAGGTTCGGTTTCGATTGCACACTTGACCGAAATGTTGCGCACGAAGGAATGCAACGAGTTCTTTTGCATATCCTGCAGACAAAAAGCGTCACGGAATTTTCATCAGATCCTTGGCGCTTTTTGTTCTAAATCGAGGTTTCAACACTGATTCACAAGCCTTAAAAAATTCTTGAAAAATTGAATGAGTATCTTCCAAGTATATCTTTGCACTTCGCACTGTATATACTATATAGGGTCTCCGAGAAGGTTCTGTTTTGATAGCACACTCGACTGCAATTTCGCTCACGAAGGAATTTAACGAGCTGTGTTCAATAGATATACTGTAACCTGCAGACGGAAAACGTTTCATCAGATCCTTTGAAACATTTTTTCTTAATCAAGGTTTCAGAACGGATTCCAAGTCCTCAGAAATCCATGAAAAAAGCAATAGGTTTCTTCAAAAAACCTTAACATGCCCTCAACATTGCGGATAACCTCTTCATTTCCTTGAGCAGGCACGAATTTGGTTTGAGGTTTATATAACACTTGCTTGTGGTTCAATTTTCACACAGCTCTTATTTTGACAGAAAGTTGACTCTGGACTTTAAAGGAAGTTGACCTTTTGAAGAAGAATTAGGCCAGAACTCTGACAGCCATTTATTTCAAAACAATTCCCAAGACGGGTGAGTACCTTCACAATTCACAGCTAAAATAGGTCTGATGCTTTCCACACAAAATTCACCCCTTTTATACTCAGAAACCAAAATCATCCAGAAAATAAAACCCATTAATCACAAGAAAACCAGTCACAAAAACCAGGTCCCCCAGCCTCCAAGTTGGCATCCAGGGGTGAGCAAACCAGGCGCTAAAATAAAACTTCTATCCCTTCCTTTTCCTGTTTACAATAAAAGAAAACACGCAGCAAACCAAGGTTTGAACACTCTGAAATGGTTCGAGAATCTTCCAGCCCTTTCTGGGCTTCCAGCCTGTAGTTTTCTGCGTCTCAAAGTAAACAGGATCAGCTCACCAGTAAAACGACCTGATTGACTCAGAGATTAAAATTTGCTTCCCTGAAATCGCCGAAGGAATTGCTCACGTAATTTCTTGCTCGTAATTTCCGCCACACTTGCTTATCAACAAACACGCACGCAGATATAAATTTTCATGAACTTGGATGAGGAAAAAAACAGCATACGTTTTAATGAGAATGCAGGTGGAAATTAGAAGGGGTTATACTTCGTTAGCATTTTTCCAACAAAAAGGGGCACACTTCAATGAAATCCTTCAGGTACTTGAATCAAAATTTAATAAAAACGGATTAACTTTTATAATACGTTGCTGGTGAGATAACAAAGGTGAGATGCTGAGGACTCTTTTTGGATTTAGTTCAATCGTTCTGACATCCTTGAAAATTGTTTTATGCTCATAAAGTTAGAGTTTCTGCACTTCCAAAGGTGGCCTAACTCTGCAGATATATTTCAACAGTAGTTCGGGCACCAGGATCTCCGTTCGCGTCGATTTATCCTCTCTCTTTTTTTGGCATTTTTCTTTCACTCACGACAAAGAATTCAATGAAGGTTGGGCAGGAATGCGATCGGAATCGACAACCTGGACTCCGCGCGAATACTGACGACGATCTGGAGGGTTGCGTTGCCGACAGGCCTGACGTCGTTCTTGCGCTCGACACTGGCGCAAACGCGACGGGGCCCATGTCGAATAACCTCGGCCTTAAATCCCGTTTGTAAAACCCGAGGCGTGAGCCGCATGTTGCTTGCACAACACTTTCCCGCCGCGATTTCGGCATCATCGGATTATCGACTGCCGAGGACAAACCCCCCGTAACTAGACTATATACCGGGGGGTGTTTCCGAAGCTGCACGAGATTAATTTCTATGTCGGACTTGCGCGTCTTCCAATCGAAGCCCGGGAACGAATGCGGAAAGCCCGATAGTTTTCGTGAGAAAGCTGAACAGCTTCCTCTAGATCTTGCAATACTTTTGGGGCATCGTTGCATTTCACTTCAATTCGGATGTACTGAATTGCTAGAGTATTTTCTCCTGAAAACCGACTATCTGGAAAGTATCGCCATTTTCAAGGACGTCTTCAAGAGGAGATCTGTGAGTCTTCGTCAATAAAATTAGCTTCTGACATGCAGTGGTCTTCAACCTGTGGTCCACGAAGTAGCACTAGTCCACTTGCCAGTCCGCAGGAAATTTATTGAAGGTAGTGATGATCTGTTATCTATTTCTGACACTTCGGGAAGACAATGGCAATTAAAATTATCTGATGAAAAATAAAAATTGGCTTTTCTCCTTGCTGAAATAAATTATTTTATGCATTCATTCTGAAAAACCTTTCAAGCTCAGCTTTTTAATTTTTGAAAACATTTCCCTATAGCAGCTTTATTGGTCCTCAAATTAATTTTTGCAATAAAAGTTTTCATTTTATAGGACTTTATGGTACGTATTTAAAAATGTTCTGCTGGTCTGCAAAAATTTTACGGAACTTTCCCGGCCCAAAAAAATATGGGAAGTTGCTGGTCTGCGGGCCCAAAAAGGTTCAGGTGCACCGGTCCGATATATTAAATTAATGCTGCACCTCATCATAATGAACAAACTTTTTTGAAGAATTGATGAACAGTCATAGAATAGATATTTTTAGAAAATGTTGAGCAATCTTAAACATCCTCCCAGCAAAATATCCTAGAAAAAAACAAGCAGTTTTCATGTTAGATTTAAACTCATTTGAAGAGCTTAAAAGGTCAGTATCGCGGTGAGGAATTTTTTCAGGCGTTTGTTTGTAAAATGAATTCTGAAAAAAAAGACCTGGTATAGTACAGTACTTAGTTTTTTTGATCCACAAATTAATATGAGACCGTTATTTTTCTTAGGGAAACGAGGTACTAGGAAAATCTGTTTTCTATTTTCTGTGTTCGCGTAGAGCGAATGAATAATGAGAGCATGTTTTCGCAGCAAAGTTTCATATTTGACGCGAAGGTGTATCATCTTTGATAAATAAATAAATCGCAAAAAGGAATTCTTTTCATGATTTTAGTCACCTTGCTATGATATTCCGAGGGGTTGACACGACCTCAGCCCTTGGAAGTGGGGTATCAGGGCACAAAAAAAAAATTGTATGCCTGATCACGTCCAGGCTCGTCTAAGGCCCTGCATACATCTCATTTCCGTATTCAAATCGAAAACCAAACTACAATTTTTCCCCTGGTTTTTCGCGCCAGCAATTCCGGAAAAATTCCATCTCGGGAACCACAGAAAATATGCCGATTTTTTTTAAAGGCTGCCGGGTCGCGAGTGGGAAATAAATTACTGCCCAGTCGGGCAGGACGAAATAAAATATATGCCACGTTTGCTGTGAACCCTCGCGACGTTTTCTTGGAAAAACACACGAGAAAAAGCGACACCACAGCATAATCACAATGAATCTTTCTTTAAAGTACTTTTTTTTTAGAAAATGGTAGAATCACAGAAAGAGAGACCGCGATGTATCAACTGCCTCATTTTCCTTTGTCCAACGCGGTTCGAATAGGAACCATCAGATTTCCCAGCCGGAAACCGTAAAAATTCCGCCTCGACGTCGACGAGGCTTCCCAAAGCCAGGCTGGGACCTTTGTGGGTTTTGCGTCTGCTTTTTCCCTCTCCGACACCCACTCAAAGCTATTCGTCGTCCCAGAATGTACCGTTTCTTTTACCCCGGGTGCCATCAACCAGCACATGAGCGTTGAAAAATAAATCTGCGGAACTGCATCACAACCAGTCTCCTAACTTCTGATTGTACACGCAATCCGAATCGCATATTAATGCGAGACGACTGGAAAATATCCGCGCAAAACTTCGCCGCCGAATGAATACTGTTGTTCTTCCTGTGTTATCGGCGCATAAGTATACGCGGAGGAAGTAGTAGCAACTGAGAAAACCACCAAAAACTGGTTTCATTCAGGTTTTCACACAGTTCGTTAAAACCCGTTCCTTGCAAACAATGCCTCTCTCACACAGACACGGACATTCACCGCTTTTCGATTCCGAGATAAATCCTAATGACGTGTCAAACGCGAGGTGAGATTCGTGGGACAATATCCTTCTCGTATTTTCTGAAAAGTCTTGTTTCTTTCGAATTTAAGATAATTTTTCCTTCCATGAATGCACGAGAAACAGAAGAATCACAGCAAAATGGTCTTCACTTCTCATGTGACAAACATGCTCTTCTATGATCATCACCATAATTTTCGCATCACCAAAAGAAGCCACATTGCAATCTTTTCAATGCAAAGTTCATCATGATTTTCACATTTTTCGTTAAAATCCATTTCTTGCAAAGAATGCCTCTTGTTCTTGTCACACACACACTTTCGCCGCTTTTTGATCCAGATAAATCCAGATGACGAGTTCAGAACTTCGAGGCTAGATTCGTGGTATAAAATATTTCTGGTGATTGCAGGAAAGTCTTTCTTTCAGAATATGAGATGGTTATCCCCTGCATTATTGTACAAAAACTATGACACAAGATAAAGAAGAAACAGAATATTCACGGCAAAAATAGGCTGCACTTCTCAAGAAACCACCATATACTTCTATGAAATAGTAAGACTTTTGTCTCCACACACTCTCAATCAGGCGTTGTTACCTTCTTGAAGTAAAGCACACACTAAGTGGAACACAACGGTAGCGGATTATATTGACACTCACTCAGGTAGCAGATTATGACTAATACAGTACACACGATAAAAGGCACTGATTCTCGTGATGACCATTTGGTTTGGGAGCTATAGACAAAGTGTGGCTCTCTTAGGCCTCAGGGGTACAGGCGTGAGTCGGTTGACGCAAGCACGCGTGTGTATTGTGTCAGCCAGTTCGGATTGGTGCGGCGTAACAAAGTAAAAAGAAACAGTTGATGTTGCGTTTAGACCTTTGCGCGGGCCATGATGGCGATGCCTATGGACCCATGTGGGGGTCGTACTCTCCCCCCCCCCCCCAAAAAAGAAAGGTGCCGGCGGCGGCGAAAGAACAAGGGAGGAGGAGGCCAAGGCTGACGGTATCGCGAGGGCCGTCGGCGGCGGCGTTTCGGTCGAGATCCTTGGGCGTCCTGAGATCCTGTTGAGGTGAGGTTGTCGTTGCTAGTATTCGTTGTCCGTGATGGGTCCTGTGCCGTCGAGCGGTTGTGCCAGTGTCCGGCGGCGGGGCTTGATGTCCGCTGGCGGTTCCTCCACTGACGATTTGGAGCTACTGGAGCTGGGGAATCGGCGGACTTTTTGGCGGTTGTTAGATCCGGTTGAGGCGGCAGTGTCGGTTCCTGGGGAAGGCTGTCAAATGGCGGAATGTTGACCCTCGATACGGGTGACGTCACCGTGGGAGTGCGTGGCAGAGAGCGGTCTGGCATAGCTGGGGCCTGGTTGGGCGTCTCGCTGCATGCCTGATGCACTTTGGGGGAGCTCGTCGTGGGATGGGCTTCATTGTAGGATTCATTCGTAGCGTCGAGTGTCCCTGGGTCCAGGCAAATTTGAGGCCGATCAGTTTCTTCAGTATCCTATGAACAGAGGGATTTTGTACTATTTTGTTTCATCAGATATTTTGGTATAGTAGGGGGTGGCATGACGGGAAAGTTATATGCTTGTAACTCCCAGGCATTTGCTTGTTGGTTGCCCGCTAGGGTTTGGATGCAATATTTTGCTTTGCCAAGGACTGCTGTGATTCGGAAAGGTCCAAAGCGTTTTGGTAAGAAGCGTCGGTTTGCGGCGTGTTTTTCTGTTGTTTTCAGTCGTGGCCTGAGGGTTACCATTTGGCTGAGTTTAAATTCGGTTTTGCGATGTCTATTGGCCTGCTGAATGTACCGTTTGCGGTATCTTTGGTTAGTTACTTTGACTCTTTTGAGTTCAGGGGATATGTCCCTTGGCGGTAGTTTGAATCTGATGTCTGCTGGGGTGGGTATTGGCTTTTTGTGCCAGAGTTCTATGGGCGGTAGCCCTGTGGTGGTGTGTGGCGTTCGGTTGTATGCAATCGCTGCGTCGAGTAAGATGTCATCCCAAGTGGTTGGGGTTGGTGCTGTCTTTGCTATGATAGCCGACAGGGATTTGATTGCTTGCTCACAGGCGCCGTTGCCTTTAGGGTGGTATGGCTGGGCAATGTATGACTCAATTTGATTTGCGGTGATAAACCTTTTGTACGGCGCTGAGTTGAAGACCGCTGCTCCATCTGAATGGATTATTTCGAATGTGCCCAGTTGGGCGATAACGTCCGCTAGGAAGCTGCATAGGGCATTCGCCGTTGCGCGTTTGACAGGTGTGGTGACCACTCTGCGTGAGTAGTAGTTGATAGCGACTATTGCGTATCGGTTGCCGTTTGTTGATGGGGGGAATGGGCCCCAGAAGTCGACTCCGAGTCGGTCGTGTTTGTTTGCTGGCGGAACAGGTATGAGTTTGGTACCCACTGCAGCGGTTGCCGAGTTGAATGTGAAGCATTTAGCGCATTGTATGACGTGATGAAATATGTCAGTGCGCATGCCGGGCCAGGTGAACCTTTTTCGTATTGTATCGAAGGTCTTTTTCCAGTTGGTGTGGCCCATTTCCACATGATATTGGTCAATGATGTTGGCGCGTTGCCCAGGATCAGGTACGTTGCGGAGTTGTATGCTGTTGAGCTGGATTCGGCTGAGGGCGTCTGGCCCTGTGAGGGTTTTGCCTGGCCGGTGTACGAACGTATGCTGGAATGATTCCAGTTTTAGGCGGAGGGCGATGAGTCTGGTGTCGACTAGCTCTCCTAACAATGCCTTGTGGTCCGTGACGATTTTGAATTGTCGATGTTCGACGTAGTGTCGAAACTTTTTGATTGTTGCCCATACTGCTGCCAGCAGTTCTCTTTGAGTGTTGGAGTAACGGGTCTCAGCGGGCGTCAGGACTCTGCTGGCATAATCAATGATGTGTGGTTGTCCGTTGTGGTGGATTTGGACTAGGATGGCGCCAATGGCGGTGGCCGAGACGTTGCAGTGGATTTTGGTGTCCCACTGTGGTTCAAATCGTACTAGCCGCGTGGCGTTGGCAATCGCCTGTTTTAGGGCTTCAAAGGTGGCCTCTGCTTCTGGCGTCCATTTGAGCGCTGTGGCTGGTTTCACAGGGATCGTGTTGCATAGGGTTTTTTTGAGATTTGCGAAATTGATTGGTACGTGCGAGTGCAAGTACGTTGCAAGTCCCAAGAACCTCTGCATTTGCTTTGTGGTCTTGGGTTTGGGGAACGCTTGTACGGCTTTGAGATGTTTGTCTGCTGGTCGTGTTCCTGTCTTGTTGACGATGTGTCCCAAGAAGTGGATAGATTCTGCCAAGAATTTGGACTTGGAGATGTCTATTGACGCCCCGGCTGTCACCAGGGTGTGTAGAACCTCAGAGAGGTTTTGCAGCACTTGTTCAAACGTGGTGCCAAAGACGATGATGTCGTCGATGTATACAATGCATTGGTTGTAGAGATGTTGGCGCAGGATGGTTTCCATGGTCCTTTGGAAGATGGCTGGACCAGTTTTCAGGCCATACGGCATCACTGTATATTGCATTTGCCCGGTTGGGGTTGTGAATGCAGTTTTGTGGCGATCGCCATGGGCTATGGGTTTGTGGTGATACCCGGAGTGCAGATCCAGGCAGCAGAAGTATGCGTTTTGTCTGCCCAGTGCATCGAGGATGTCTTGGATGACCGGCATCGGGTAGTTGTCTGCCAGTATGACTTTGTTGATTTCGCGGTAGTCTTCTACTAGGCACCATCTTCGTATTGCTGGTGCATTGGGGTTCTTGTCTTTGGGTGTCAGGAATGCCGGTGAGTTGACCGTGGACTGCGCCGGTTCAATGATGCCGGCTCTGGTGTAGTTGGCAAGGATTTCCGTCATTGCTGGTATTTTGTCAGGCGACAGTCGAATGCGCCTTGGTGGCTCGGGATCTTGGCCATTCATTGGGATGGATGCGACGTGTTGGGGGAACAGTCCATGCTTCCCTGACCATTGGAAGATGTTGTCTTTGTATTTGGCAAGTAGATGGGCGACCGCCTGTTGTTCAGCGTGAGAGCCGTTTACGAACGTAATGCCTTCGCCGGTTTTGGCTTGCAGGCTTTTGTTGATTGGTTTTATGGTTTGAAACCCGGAAAAAATTTGTTGGCCATCGAGTGTTACGCAAAACGGGACGTTTTTTAGTGTGTCGAGGCCAAGAATTATTGGGTACCTCGCGTTTGCAAGTAGAAAGAAGGTCGCACAATAGTCGGCTGAACTGAGTGAAAAGGTGGTACTTACCAAGTGGCTGATGTTGGCAGAGATGTGTAAGACGGCTGCGGAGATCTTTGCCTTCGTCGGATGGGGTGTGAGCCCTACTTTGGCTGCGACGTTGGTCACCATGAATGACCTGGTGGCTCCAGTGTCAATCAGTGCTGTGACGCGTTTGTCCTTGATGCCGATGATGATTGTTAGGCTGTCGTCTGTATCTTGGGAGATCGAGCAGAGGACAGCCTTCACTGCCCAATCTTGGCGTTTCCCTGGTTTGGGCAATTGGTCACCGTGTGACCTGTAAGTCCGCATTGCACACATTTAGTCGGTTGGACTGTCTGTGTGTTAGGTGTGTTTACCTGGTTGGCCAGGTTGTTTTGGCAATCTGCTGTCGAGTGTGCGACAAGGCGACCTGGGTGGTAGGTATATGATTGAAGGTTTCATGGTGATTGGTTGCCCGTGGCCCTGTTGGGCCTTGGGTTTTGCCCGAGCAAGCATTTGGCGGTTGTGTGTAGGACGTACTGTTGGTGGTGGTCACAGTAATGCTTCTGTACTCTGGACGCCGTGGTTTTTGGTCGGCGGTTGCCTTGTTGAGTGTTCTGCGGGGCCAGCGATGCACGTGGAGTGTTGGGGTGCATGCAGCGGTATTTGTCCCCATATGCAAGACAATTGACCCATGTGAGGGTTCGATCGGCAGTCGCCTTGGAGTATAGGTGGGCGTGGAGCCCTCCGGTGGTGATTGCCAGTAGTTGACCGATGAGGGCGGCGGTGATGGATCTTTCTTGACTGGGTAGGTCGGTTGCGCTGAGTGGTAAGTATCGGATGTACTCGCACCGTAGGCAATTGCCGAATTGTGCCCATGATTCATCTTCGAGGGGCCGTAGGGCTAGGAATCGTGTGAAATGTTTGAAGGGCAATAGTCCAAACTGTATCTTGAGCCAGTCGGCAATGTCATTGTAATTGTGATATCCCTCGTCGTAGAGGCGTTGGGCTGCCGCCGTGACTGTAGGCGTCGTGTGCCCGATCAGGCAGTCAATTTTTGTGTTATTGGACATACCGTCATGACTGAATGCGATTTCCAGTTGGCGCAGGTAGACTTCAAAGTCCTCTCCCTGTGCTTGTTTCAGAAAATCCGCCCTGCGTCGGAGCAGCGATTTGGTGATGTTGGCGGTAAGTTTGGCGGCAGAAGGGCTGGCTCCTGGTCCGGGTGCTGTGTTTTGGAGCACATTGATTGGCTGTACGCCTCGCGCTTGGAGCGCTGCAACGAGTTTGTCTCGGTTACCCAAATGTGGGATTTGTGTGGTCGCACAGTACGATCGTATGGCCGGTAGCATGAGATGTGCCCACTGGTTGTTATTGCGATAGTTTTGGGCGAACGCCAATGCGGAATTGCTTGATGGACTTGGGGATGCTTTGTCCATTTCACTTTGCACAATTCGCTCATTCGGGGTTGCCATGGTTTGTTCTCGCGCGGCTGAGCACCCAGTAAGACTTTTGTCTCCACACACTCTCAATCAGGCGTTGTTACCTTCTTGAAGTAAAGCACACACTAAATGGAACACAACGGTAGCGGATTATATTGGCACTCACTCAGGTAGCAGATTATGACTAATACAGTACACACAATAAAAGGCACTGATTCTCGTGACGACCGTTTGGTTCGGGAGCTATAGACAAAGTGTGGCTCTCTTAGGCCTCAGGGGTACGGGCGTGAGTCGGTTGACGCAAGCGCGCGCGTGTATTGCGTCAGCCAGTTTGGATTGGTGCGGCGTAACAAAGTAAAAAGAATCAGTCAATGTTGCGTTTAGACCTTTGGGCGGGCCATGATGGCGGCGCCTATGGACCCGCGCGGGGGTTGTACTAAATCATATTCTACACAATATCCCGTGGTTATCTTGATTCTTTAAAGAATCCACAGTATTTATAGAACACAAGTTGGCACAAATGCCACAATAGTTATTCTCTTACTGTATTTGAAGAATCAAATTTGAAGAAAATGGGACATGTTTGATGCTAACGTACCGCATGAATATAAATCGAGAATCCAAGATTTGAAATGTATTAATAACTTTAATATACTGTAATTACCTCTGCATTCAATGATATCAGCAATTCAATAAATCGCACAGTTCACATGACACAATCACGCTGATTAAGTATACGGAGGAGTGGTAAACGTCACATTCTCTTCCTACGAGTGGAAAAGTCTCCACTTTGTCGTAGAGCAAAAGATGCACTGAAACCAGTCGCAAGATTGTCCACCTGTCACTGAATCAGCCTGAAGTAAAAACATTTCATATACCCGAGTACCAGGATACGGAGAAATAAACTGGGAATCAAAAAAAACCGGAATGGTTCGCCAGCGCGGCAGAAAATCCTGCCCTGAGCCTTGTTGAACGGAGGACGATATCTGTGTCTGTCTGGTTTTTGCGTGTGCATGACTTTCTGGTAGAGTTGGACTCATCTAAAGAAACAAACGATAAATTTCGATCTTATCCTGTTGGATTTAGTACATCAATCTGAGGATTTTGAGGTGAAAAGAAATACAATGAGGCCCCAAGGATGAAATCAGTGCTTGGACCTCGTTCCTATGATGTTGGAACATCCACATGTTGGATCGCATTTTCCCGTAGACTTCAATGGGAATATTTGTGATTGGTTCCCCCGATGATCAAAAATTAGGCGAAAGTCCCCCAGAGAAAATAAAAATGAAATCATTTTTCTCAACTTCAAGATATAAAAATGACTGCAGATAAAATCACTCATGATCTGATCTTTTGGCATGGAAAGGAGCCAAAAAAAGCGCACAAAAAGTCTTATTATACTTTACTCGGATTATAGAAAGAACTCTGAAAAAAGCACGAAATTAGCCCGTTTTGAATTGTTAATTTCAGTGAATTCATAAAAACATTCCGTTTTAATAGTTTGTGAATATAAAAAGTTCAATTTGTTCAAGGGACATCAAAATTTAGAAAACACTATCATTTGTCTGGAATTTTTGGTGGCGTCCGTATATTGAGGCATTCTCAGGATTTCAGGGCAGATTTTTTTCCTCGTGTCTCTAAGTCGAATCGTCCATATATCGGGCGTTCGCATTTTGGGGCCACAATGTGTTCTGTACTAATAATAATAATTTATGCGCTGCAGCATGAATGTCACGGCTAAGAAAATTGTTGCAGAATTGTGAAAGAGATTCTAGGCTACCTGTAAAAAACAAAATGAGAAGAGCAAATAAGCAAAGAGCAGTTGCAATAATAAAGGTGTTCCCATAAAATACAGTAGGAGCACTCTGGAGCAATATTCACGCGCCACGTTTCATCGGAACCCGCGTCGTCGTGTATCATTAGAACAAACAGAAGCCGCATGCTGAGGACATCCCTTTTCTCCCCGACTTCACTTTTGTTTTTCACGTTTTCGGCGGAATGCCTGGGGGGGGGGGGGGGGGGGTTTCCCCCCGTTTTNCGAGTTGGAAGGACTCCAAGAACCGATCAATTGGCCTGCATTTCCCGGCATTCTCTCCCTGTGTTGGGTTCCTCTGTGCGGCATTGATACTTTTCAGGGTGCTGTTTTTTTTTGTTTTTTTTTTTTTAACCTGGCCCCTAGAAAAGGCTTCCTAGTTTTTTTTTTATCTTCAGCTTTAGTCCTTCTACAATTGGATTGAATAACATTTTGTTTTTCTGAAGCTCAAGAACCTATCTTGGCACACCGTATTGCTTGATACCAATGTTGGCAATGTGGTATTAATACACATCACTTATGGTATAGTCAAACCTATTTTACCCTTGGACAGCAACAGCCTCCTTTCCATCCTGTGGCATACTCAGGATTTATTTTTTTTACACACGGACACTTTCCAGCTTTGGCCAAAGGTCACCAAAATGTGCCTGGGTTGAGAAGCCCTAAGTTGGGGAAAATCTGGAAAGGGGTAAATCCATCTCTTTTCAGGCATATTCAATTCTAATAGTGTGCTAGGAATGCAGGAAAAATGCCACCCAGCAAAGACTTTTTTTCAGCAAAAGTTTTCTGCCAGCAGCAGAGAAAAGTATTTTGCTTTTCCCAACTTAGGCCTTGGTTTTCAGTTGATTTTTTTTTTCAGTGCTTTTGGACACAACATTTTTCAAAAATATTCCAACTCTGCCACAGTTGAACTCCAAGAAACTTGCAAGAAAATTTGACTAAGGTATTTTTGGGCTGGGAAAAAAGAGCATTTTTTCAGATGATAGATCAAGCATTTAAAAAAAGTGAAATTGATGATTTCTGGGCCTTAAACTGCTAGATAAATGAGTGGAAATGATGCCGAAATTGAAGACAAGGGTTTATTTGCATTATATTAGTCACTCACTTCCTTTTGAAAAATACCAAAAAAATTTTTTATTGCTTTTAGCATGGATGAAAGATGTATTTCTTGTGAAATTTCGCTTGAAAAAAATGTACTTGCTCAGATCATGAAGCTCGGAGCCGGGAGCCACTCCCACAAAACAAAACAAGACAGAAATCAAGTGAACTTCTTACTGGTTAAGTGGGTTTGAACTTTACACTGGCTTTATCTAGAACCAGCTGTCGGCCCAGTCATTATTCAAATCATTCCGGATCATCTGATTAATGCC